GTGGGGTCCACCCGCGCGCTGGTGACCCCATCGGCCGTTTATGGCCCCTAGCTAGGGCCCGAGGCTTCCAACGTGTGCGGACCACGTGGAGCCCTCAGGCCTATTGTCAGCCAAGTCTTAAGAGCCGTCGCCTAATTTCGTTAAATTAGGGATTTCCAGGATTCTCGTGTTCCGCGACACGAGAAGTCAAAGAAAAAAGGTAAAGCAGTCAAACATGCTGAAGGCAAGGAGAGGAAAATTCCGATGCCGAATTGTTTGACCCTAAAGTCCTGGCTGTTGGAAGACCGTAACAGTGTCTTCCTTCTTCTTCGACGGAACAGTATATTTCGTTATTTTTGTTGTACATTGAAAGGTTAGGGAACGAACACAGTGCAGCGCGTATTCAGCGAGGCAGTAATTTTAATCGAGAGTTAGAGAAATAAGGGATATAATGCAATTTATAGAGATAAAATTTTAATCTGATGACTGAAGAAAGGTTCGAACCCTTCACGTCCATGTGCAACGAAGAATTTTTATATCGGTTCCAAACGTTGAAGACGCTTTAAGACGAAAGTGACAATGTATAACGTTATCCTTCTTCACAATGCAAAAATAATATGTGAAAAGTACGATCAGCAGCTTATTTCAAATTTTGGTGACCAATTATAGTTATTCAGAAGCAGGAATAATTATAATTGTGGTAATGGTTACATAGATTTTTAAATATATTTGTATTGGAATGAGTGGAACAAATATGCACGGGATGGAAATATCTAATGAATTCAGGTTAGGTTAGATTCAGTGATAAGAAGCATAGTAATAATGGACGAATTTTTGTAATTTTTATTATAATTGAAAATACGTTTTATGCGAGATATTCGGAAAAATTTATTATTTATTGACGTTATATTATATTATATATAATTCAGTATATTATTGTTAATACTAACTTTTGTTGGTTAGTATGTTTGGAGAAGCTATATTGTCGTGGAAGGTTTTTATATTCTGTTGTACGAAAATGAGTTTTTGAATACAGCTTTCGTGATATTGCTCGTTCCTGGTTCCTCTTTGTTCAGAAATTTGTTGAAAATGCCGCAATAAATAGAGCCCTGACCTAAATTAGATGAGGGAAATCTTATAATAAGGGGACGCTCAAAACGTGCCAGGAGGGAAAAGGAAGAGAAAAAAGGAAATCAGCTTTTTGAAATACTGAAAAGAGAATAGAAGGAAATGTGAGATGGGTTTATTAAAAAATTATGCGACGGTTTCTTCGAGGGAGTAGTTGCTATCTAGAGAGCGAAAGGTCACGTAAAAATTAATTATAATTGATTAATTAAAATTTCTTCGTGGCGTGGTAATTAAACATTCTTGAATATTTCTTGGGAAATAACGGGTGCTCAAATTTAGATTTACCGAAAATTTGAAATTCATGGATGGAATTCGGGAATTTACAAATTTACGAATTGAAATTTAGAGTTTTGGGGAATTGATGAATGCAGGGAAACCAGGAAATTGTGAATGAAGGATTTGAGGATATAGGAATTCAGGAATTTCGGAATTTCGGAATTTCATAACATATAAATTTAGGAATTTGGGAATTTAGGAATTTTGGAATTTAAGGATTTTGAAATTTAAAAATTTTTGAATTTTTGAATTTAAGTATTTCGAAATTCAGGAATCCCAAAATTTATAAATTTGAGAATTTAAGAACGTGAGAATTTAAGGATTTCGAATTTAAAGAATATAAGCATTTAAGAATTTCGGAATTAAAGAATCTCAAAATTTATAAATTTGGGGATTTGTGAATTTAGGAATTTAGGAATTTTAGAATTTTTACATTTAAGGATTCTGAGATTTATGAATATAGGAATTTAGAAATTTTGAAACTTAAGAATTTGGGGATTAAGGAATACAAAAATTTATAAATTTAGATATTTGGAAATCTAGGGGGTTAAGAAATTAGACATTTCGGAATTTTGGAATTTAAGAATAACGAAATTAAGGAATTTCGGAAATTTATAATCTCGGAAGTTAGTATTATTATTCGAAGAATTTCGAAATTTAAGATTTAGGAATTTAAAACTGTCAGAATTTTAGAAAGTTTTAACTGTCAGAATTTAAAAATTAAATTAGAAAATTTTACAATTTTAAAATTTAGGAATTTAAAAATCCAAGTAGCCTAAAAATTTTATATACTTAAAATTTAAAAGCGAAAAGTTGAAATGATTCATTCCTATCAAAAGGATAGGAAACATCCTTGAATTGGTTCGCAGAAGCAAGAAATTTTCATTCAGTGATCCCATATACTTTTACTCGATACTATACACGGGATCAGCAGCCTTTGATCACTGAACCTACAAACGTAGAGCGAATATCCCGATTTACCATTGTCGCGTCATCGTACAAGTCATCTTGTTAGTGTTATTGACACGTACCAACATCCAAACCCAAAAGCTTGTTTGGCCACACCCTACCTTTGTTTGCAGCCTAATCTTGAGCGGTTCGCCTCGACGCTCTCAAATTCTGTCACTCGCACGTCCATGTACACATATACACGCAATTCGCGAAATTTCTCTACCCGCATATCTGTCAGACCTACAATGAGACACGGATTAGCCGGTTCAGGACGAGCTTACCACATTTCGCAACTCGAGTATGTCGGGAACGGATTATCACTCTTCAGTGATTAGGGTGTTGTTTAAATCGGGATTCTCGACTGTGCAGCTTGATATACGCTATTTACACCGAATATTATCACTGTCTTCCAGTTTCATCCCATTTTTGATATCGAAAGTCACCCGATGTTCACGAATCTGAAATATTCAAATACATCTAGGATTGGATAACTTGTATATATTTTCAGTATCATTTACACTGTAGAACGAAGGCAGCCGTGGATTTGGCTTACAAGGAGAGCGCAAGTCCTGCGGGTCATAGATTTAGTTGAAACTTTGCAGGTTTTTAGATTTAGTCATCCAATTCAAGAAAATGTATAATTATGAGGACAACTACTCGATAGTTTTCGAGATATTTATGTAGGATTGGAATGAGTGTGGCCTTGGAAGAGTGTCAGGAGTGTTTGAACTTAGAACAAAGATGACCACGCGCAAGAAGATCGAATGGATGTGTATGACAGCCGAGCGCGATGGACAAATGGAAGTTAGTTTATGAGTGCGGTGTGTGTTCGAAGTACCTGGTTCACCGAGGTTGCGGGGAAAGAGGTATGATTGGGAAGGAAAGCCCGAGTGTGAAAAAAGGACAGAATGAATGGTTTAAATAAGGGTGCAAGGGCACGGGCGAGTCAGGGTGTGTAAGAAGTCCAAGTCAGTCTAACAGTTCAGTCTAAGACAGTCCATCAGTCAGTCGAAGAATGTCGAAAGTCTAATAGTTTGCAGTGAAAGACAGTGTGTCAAAGTCTAAAGTCAGTTTACAAGAGTCAGTTTAAGAAAAACCAAAAGAGCGTGCCCATAGCGAATCTCTCTTGTTTCATAGCCAGCCGCTGTCATTCTATTTATAAGCTTATTTTATTCCATTAAGAAGCGAACAATACTATCTTGAGTCAATCCACCCAAAATTCGATCCTATATTTATGATTAGAGTTTTATTATTGCCTTAATTGCAGATTTATTTCGAATATTTATCGAGTGCCGTTGTGATCTAATGACGATATCCGAAAATTTCCTCGCTGATTTGGAATTTGGAATTTTGCAATTTGTAAAATCCGATCCTATGTATATTTTTTCGTTGGTTATAAAATATAACTGAAAAATATACGTAGAGGTATCGTATTCCAAGTAAGTCTTTGTTTTCGTTACAAACTCACGTGCGAAGTTTGGGAGGAACGACGTGGTCGAGTGCGGCCGAATTCAGAATACTGTTTAAGACAAAAAGTCGGTATTTTCAAAATTTAAAAAAAAAATTCTTTTACTGCCCCCTTAAATTATATTAAATAGAATTACACGCTTTCCATTACAATCAAGTCTCCTATAACTCGATTAATTCGTACCGCGTTATATGGAAACCGTGTTATAAGAAAATTGGTGTTAACTGAAATGGGGAAACGCGTCCTATGGAAACCGCGTTATGAGGAACATAATAATAAGCCAAATCAGATTAATTTATACCGCGTTATATGGAAACCACTGCCACGCTATATAGGAACCGCGTTATAAGAAACTCAGAAATAATACAAATTCATCGAATTCGTACTGCGTCATACGGAATCTCAGAAATAAATAAATTGTACATAAATCAGACCTATATAAAAATTGCATTCTCAGAGTATCAAGTTGCGATTGATACGGTTAATAAATAAAATTTTATAATAGAAATGGCAATGAATATGCAGATTTTTACATATTTGAATTTAGGTTTATCGAATATAATACATAGTTCGTATAATAAAATTATAACCTAAAAAATTGTTTCCAACGAAAGAATTTAATTTGATACATATTAGCGACGTATCCTAATTTAAAATAGGATTCTAACGTGTTAAAATTAAACGGTTTATTACTTTGTTTTATATAATTATCTTTTGGGCGCATATCAAAAGCCCTTATTTACACATTGCGTACCGCTCACGAGTTTTCTCGCGTTTTGCGCGCCATCTGTTATGGACCTTAGATGTCGCTGCACTGTCTCGTCAAAACGTGCGGACCCTGGCGTGTGTCTAGAGATTTCTATGCAGTACGCAATGTGTTATAATCTTTTCTATCATAAGTTCTCCTATCCATCGATGTTATTCCATATTTCTTCTTATTTATATTTATTTCTGAAACAAATGTTTTATTCTCAAACACTCTTATGAAACCGATTCAGTCTGATCAGAATTCAGACATTCTTATCATGTGGTTCATACATCGAGGACACTACAATTAGATCGTTTTATTATTCATTATCACAGTCAAATATTGGCAGTTTATCTCTTTTTTGATACGTTATTGCGAGACAAGGGGTTAACTGATGTTTCGTGATTGAATATGTGCATGGAATATGTGGTATTCTCTTTTTGTTCACAGCCAGAGCAATTAACCATAGTGGTCGAGATAAGCAATATCGTGTTTTCGGCCGTCTTTGCTGTGGAGATGTTGCTCAAGATAATTGCCGAAGGTCCATTTGGGTACATAAGCAATGGATTCAACGTTTTCGATGGGGTCGTTGTGGTACTCAGGTATGTAAATGAAACAAATTATTTTTAAAATAGTAACAGTTTAAACTTTCTCATCTTAGCATGAATTTTTATTATGATATTTTTCTTCATACATCATACATATAATTTATATGGTATTAAAAATGTTACATATTATATGTAATATTAAATATACTGTATTTAATTACACATATTATATAGTAATAATAATAATAATATATAAGAACAAAATATAATACATAATATATAATTGACTAATTCTAATATATACATGGTGTTTCATGAATTTCGTCAATGTGAGATACCTTTGTTATTTTAAACGGTACATGAATATGTTACTCATAAAAATGATGATTTATAAAAATAATACAATATAATGACAATGGCTTCTTTTAAAAATGTTTGATTTTTTGTAATGAATTGACTAACCTCTTTTATTCGATTTCGATAGGATAATGTATTCTGAGTGAAAAGGTACTTTTGTTCAAAAACTTAATATTTCTGAAATATTTGATTTGGCTCATTTCACTATTTTCAACGTGAAACACGTTACACAAATGTGTTTCATAGTAAGAGTAACAAATAAATGAACAAGGTCAAGTATTTCGGAAACAGTCATTTTTAGAATAAAAATACCTTATTAAGTATTTTTATATTCAGAATTTATTATTTTATTGAAATGGAACGGAAAAATTAGTCATTTTGCTTTAAAAAATTAAGTTGGTTTTTACATCTCATCTATGTATCCTCCAGAGAAGAATATCTCATTATGTGTTTCTTTAAATCCTGTGATTTTTATAAGTGACATTTTTACGTATTATTTGAAATCGCAAAGATATTGGCACACTGTATATATCACATTAGTCGTTCTTTATATTAACACTAGAATTACCAAATTAATAAAAATGACTAGTTTTGAATCTTTTATTTTTGCAATTGCTGTTGAAAAAATTAATATTGAGTTTATTGTAGAAATAAGCTTATTATAAACAGAATAATATTTATTTAAAATGAAAAATTTAAATTTAAATGTCTGTCAATATTAAAAGTCAATTACAAAATAATTAAAATTCCATCAAAAATTAAAATTAAAATAAAAACTATTAAAAATGATTAAAAAATAAATAGAGAAATATTTATACAGGCTATTTTGGAAATGTATGTCGATACCACTGAAGCAGAATTTTTATACTAAAATAAGTAAAAATCGTCTTACATACGTTATTTTTCAAATTAAGAACAATAAAATAAAATACCCTAATTTAAGTTGAATTATCTTATAAAAATCGGTGAATCATTTTTCATAATCTAAAAAAGTTCCCGTATTTTTTTTATTATCGATTTAGGAAATGATTGTGTTGCCTAATAAACTAATAATGTATCGTGATTAAAAGTACAAAAAGATGTTGGTATTTTAGGTAATTCGAATATCCACAGCTTTGCATAAACTCAGCGAGTAATGGACCGTGTTAACACAGGATAAAGGAAATTTTACATAAAATCGAAACCGTGTTAACACGGGTACAGTCGTTAAGGAGTTAAAGAAACTGTTTGAAAGTATCCAACACACGCAACTTCATGCTTTAGCATCGGGTTCTGCATTTGCTCCAAAATACCATAAATAATTCTCGTGTTCCACGAATGGTCTCAAGTCCATTTCGTATTCTTTCTCACAGATCGTGAACATTGTTCGTTTGCATTAAATGCATAATAAATTTAAAATGCCACCGAAATTAATATTTTGGAATTATATAAATTTAAAATGACACCGAAGTTAATATTTTGAAATTATATAAATTTAAAATGACAACAAAATTAATATTTTGAAATTATATAAATTTAAAATGACACCGAAGTTAATATTTTGAAATTATGTAAATTTAAAATAACACCAAAATTAATATTTCGAAATTATATAAATCTTAAGTGCCACCAAAATTAATATTTTGAAATTATTGAATTTTAAATTACGCGAAGATTAATATTTTGAAATTATTTAAATTTGAAATGATAACAAAATTAATATTTTGAAATTATATAAATTTAAAATGACGCGAAGATTAATATTTTGGAATTATATAAATTTAAAATGACACCGAAGTTAATATTTTGAAATTATATAAATTTAAAATGACAACAAAATTAATATTTTGAAATTATATAAATTTGAATAATCTCAAAATATGAATTTAAATTATAAAATTATATAAATTCACATTTTCAGGGTATTTAAATTAATATCTATTTTTAATATGATATTGGTTTTTATTCATTTTTGTTCTTGTAAGTATGTAAACCGTATATCTTGCAACTCAACCAATGAGAAAATTAGAATTTTTTAAAATTGAGATACTTGGATATTTTGTGCAATCACAGATATAAAGTGAAAAAGTAGTATAGCACGAGTAATAGTATTACAATACATGTATTGATACATGAAGTGGATATTTTCAAATATTTTTCTTACTCTTCAATAATTTGAACAGTATGTCGTATACAAGACATATGACATTTTTTAGTTATTTCGGTGTGTAAATTCTGCTTCAGGAAGTATTAATATACATTTCTGCAATATTTAATTATTTATTTATTTTCATTGCGCCATTTTCATTAATACAACATATTTAGGTACACAACTAAGCAGAGTAAATATTTATTTGTTTTCATTATATCATTTTAATTGATATTATTTATGTATTGTATATTTATGTGTACACCTAATTGTAGTAAGTATTTATTTCTTTATTTCTTTTTATTCGACCATTTTAATTAATATTATTTATGCACATATTTAGGGACATACATAAGCAGAGTAAATATTTATTTTTTTATTTATTTCATTATATTATTTTAATTAATATTATTTATGTATACTACATTTATGTGCACACCTAAGTATTTATAAATATGTATTCATTTATTTTCATTAAATCATTTTAATTAGTATTATTTATGTACATATTGCAGACACGTTCTATAAAAAACAGATATATAAAATTCAATTATATACCAGATTAGATTTCAATTATATATTATAATTGTACTAGTTTAAACATTTAAATTTTTTAACAAATTTGTATAAGTTATTATTAATTATTATTATTATTATCATTATCATTATTATCGTTATTATTATTACATTTTTTAATTTCTTGATTATATTGAAAAAAGAATAACGGGTTACACCACCAGTAGTTGCTTCGGGTCCCATAATTTCTAGGCGCGGCACTGGATATATTGCAGTTCTAGTGTTAATACCAAACTAGACAAAACAATAATTTTCGGATTTTTCATTTATACAGTTACTGCAAACGTGTAGTTTCTTTTAGCAAATCTAATGTTGATTTTTAAAAAACGTAATTATGCACATAAGTATACTTATTTATTTTCTTCGTACCACTTTAATTATTATCATTTATACACGCCATATTTGTATGCACGTTACAAGTTGACAATTCGTGTTAAAGCAAAAATATATGAAAAGTGGAAAATAAAATCACTTGTTAAGTTTCAAAATATAATTCACGAGTTGCAATAATGCAAAAATTAATTTGCCTCTGACTATGGCTCATTAAAATCGAAGTAACGTAATCGAAATTTTTGTTTACCTGCAAATAGCTTTTGTTACGTTTTGTCAATGATATATGCAATAAAAATTCTCGGTACTTTGATCGTCGCGATAAATTTCGCATTGTGCAAACTTAAACGATTCGACGTATTTTAATTGTTTCGTGCTTTAGCATTTTACAAGTTTTCACAAGCTTTTTAGAACAGTATTTTTAGAGATCTTCCATGTGTTACTCGAAGAGTCTGCGATATATGCACCGACGCCAAAAAAAGAAGGTCGACGTCATTTATGTACACTTCTTGCAACGTTTCACTACATTCGGGAAAACGTTTTGAAAATTGCCACGTAAAATTAACATATTGACTTCTTAATTTACCGTACTATCGAATAAATAATTTTTTTACGAGAAATACTTTTTATTGCGGAAAAATAGGAAATTACGTCACGCACTTTGGATAATGGGTGTTTCAATGATTTTTGTTTTAATAAGTACACTGTGATTATGCTATGAACGACTTTGCAGAAAGTGCTGCGAGTAGATAGCGGAATTTATGTAAAAATTCACACGGTAGATAGAAGTCCTCGCATAAAATAGTAGACTGCTGTCTGTGTCGGGAAATGATGATCGAAATAGTACTATCGTAATTAATTAGAATTAAAAATTTAATTTTCGTTTTATTTCGCTCGATAACACGGTGATAATTAATTTTCTGTAATTTGTTCCCACTCGTAAAATATTATCAGTAAAATTAAATTAAAAAAGTTAATCAAATGTTTACCATGCAGTTATTCAATATTTTTAATTTGTAATTATATTAATTTGTAATTTTGTTTTTTAATTTGCTTTAAAATTTCTTTACAAACTTTTTTATTAAATACGGAGTTAAATATTTAATTTAAATTAATTAAATTTAAAAAACGGAGTTAAATTAAAAAAATTAATCAAATGTTTACCTTACAGTTATTCAATATTTTTAATTTGTAATTAATTTGTAATTAGGTTTTTTAATTTGTTTTAAAATTTCTTTAGAAACTTTTTTATTAAATACGGAGTTAAATATTTAATTTAAATTAATTAAATTTAAAAAACGGAGTTAAATTAAAAAAATTAATCAAATGTTTACCTTACAGTTATTCAATATTTTTAATTTGTAATTACGTTTTTTAATTTGCTTTAAAATTTCTTTAGAAACTTTTTTATTAAATACGGAGTTAAATATTTAAGTTGAATTAAATTAAATTAAAAGGACGGAATTAAATTAAAAACATTAATCAAATGTTTACCTTACAGTTATTCAATATTTCTAATTTGTAATTACGTTTTTTAATTTGCTTTAAAATTTCTTTAGAAACTTTTTTATTAAATACGGAGTTAAATATTTAAGTTGAATAAAATTAAATTAAAAAGACGGAATTAAATTAAAAACATTAATCAAATGTTTACCTTACAGTT